GCGCAAATTGTTTGGAATTCAGTTTTGAATTAAGCATTCGTGTGTGTATGTGTGTGTATGTGGGTGTGTGTGTTTGTGTGGGTTTCGATACTCGTTCAAATAGTAAAAGTCGGCTGCCTATTGGTTGTGACATGCAGCTCAATTGGAGGAAAATTATTTAGGTGGTCGACGTGATGCTTGAACGGAAATTAACTGTAGATCGGGGGATGTTTATTTGAGAGGGCAACAGATATAATACAGGGGCGTTTGGCATTGTGTTTGTTACGACTGTATCAGGAAACAGTCCTGAAAGTTAATTAGCATACTAAATAATACGAATAATACCGATACAACAAAGAATATGCGAGAGTTGTAGTTTTGGAAAAATAAACACATTAGCAGAACCCTCTGACCTCTATCAAGCAGTGCCAGATGTGTACAGATGTAAGTCCAAGGAGGCCTACTTTTGCAGTAAATTTTTACCAGAATGTACTTGTTATTATATTTATCAGAGATACACCCGTCTTTTATACCTGTATTCGTTTCGGTATTAATGGTATATAATGTAGTAACATTGGTTTTTAAAGTTTTAAACGAAACGAAAACTTATCCTTCCCCACACTTAGAAGAACCTGTATACCAAGTTTGATGGCTTCAGCTTTTATACTTTCGGAGATAGGTGCGTTCATACAGACAGACAGACGGACAGGCCGACCGTGTTTGCTTGTTTGTAGAACGCACCTGAATCACAACAAAGCCATAACTTCCTGAAAAACTGTACTAATAGGATGGACTTGGATATAATTGCGTATTACCGAGAATAATACGCCAAGAACGAAATGCTTTAGAGCTTGATGTTTCATTCAATGAATTAATTTTAATTAATTTTAATTAAGTAAATATAAAGATATACTAACATTTATTGAATTTCTTAGTTGGTTAGATCTGGTGTTGATACTAATAAGGGATATATTTTCGGTTACTATATGGTAGCCTTTGATCGGATATTTGATTTTTGTCCACTCAACGATTTCGACGCGCCTTCCATCTCTATCCTCTCTAATACTCGTAGTTCAACTGTTCCACTTGATTTCATTATAATTTCGATTTGCATAAGCAAATGTCTGAACACCAACTTGAATGGCGCCCCCATCCAAATGCGGGGTATCCTCCGCCTGGGATTTGTCTGACAATGCCAAGAGCGACAGTTCGTCAGCAACAGCAGTGGCAGCGGAAACAGTCCTTCAAGTTGCGTCAGTGTATCAATTTTGGATCGCCCCTCCACTCTTCATTCCCCACTCAGCACTCACTCCACCACTTGGGCCCGAGACCTGCTCACATTTCATTAGCTTGTCAACATTTATGTAGCTCTGCGACCGGGCCGGGTCGGGCCATGCGGGAGAAGCGGTGATGGTCATGTCTTTGACACTTCAGCCTGCGGCATGCGGCAAATTGAAGTTGCCATAGTGCACACATTGTTGAACTACACGACGTGTGCTTCTCTGTGTGTGTGTGCAGGAATGACTAAGAGTATGAGTGCTCGTGTATATTATTTTGTTGCTCCTCTAAATAGTTAAACTGCTTAGCGACCCCGCTCAAAGGTACGTCCTCTGCACTGGCCATCTATAAAGCAGACTATGCTACATGCTGATTTTGCTGTCAGAGATCTGAGGCAATGGAGGCGATAAAATACGAGTAGATGCTGACCCCCCCGCCCCTGCGCTGCTTGTTTGTTGCTATGCAAATCATTTTGCTCGGAAGCTGATGTGCGTGCTACTTTTGCTCGTATTTGCCTACTTTGTAGTCTTTTTCTTCTATTGAATAGAGATACATTTGTGCCCCTCCGCCCAAGAACGCTTTTCGACAAGTTCATTGGTAGTCTCATCAACAAAACAAACAAAGGAAACTTGCTGTTTAGTTAACTTTATGGACGCCTGTTTGAACACTGATACTGAACGTTGTTGTTTCTTTCTCGCATTTAACAACCGATTGCCTGGCGCTCCATTACCAGTTAATTAGTTATAATTGCCATAATTCCCCACCGGTTTGTTGCCCAATCTTCTTTTCGTTCTATTGGAATGCAAATTTACGGCAACTTAATTGTTGCACCGAGAAATTTTAAAGATCGTTGTAGTAGATTCGGGTACCCAGGTAGCGAATGCTAACGAGCACACAAAGAGCAAATCCTTTGCCATGAAAAGAAATCATAAATTTCGCCAGCAGTCATAAAAGTGATAGGCCCTTTCCCAACCTCCTCCCCCAGCAGGACGCAGCACGCTACCCGCAGACAAACGCGCAGCAGGCAAGGAAATGTGTTTGTTTATTTATGTGTGCGTCTGTGTGTGTGTCTGTGCCCCAGCTATCGATATGCCAAAATCTATACAAACCATTGGGGGGCCAAAGGAGCTTCGCAACAATGTCGATTCGATGCGCCCCGACCTGCTCCTTATCCCCCCTCCCCTATTGTAGCCTAGACAAATACTTGGAACAGAAGGAAGAACAAAATCGCAGCACGTAGCTATGAAATATGCGAACGTAGCTGTGCCTGCCCTTTTTATTTCTGTTGCTATTTTATTTTGCTGCCTTTATTATCAGCAGACATACATGCCAGTAGAGCGCCAGAAAATTTTATTAACTTAAGCGGCAAACCGTGGCGGCAGCCTGAAAGTATGCAACAGTTTTTTGCCACCCGCCACATATGCTGCCTGCGTTTGTGTGGAGGCAGTGTGTTTGTGTGTGTGTGACACAGACAGGGAAATTAACAATGGCAGCGACATTGAGCTTTTTACTAGGCCCCTAGCTAGAGCAACTGGTTGTGGAGAAGGGAGGAGTATGGTAAGTGATTGGTTGGAAAAATCTGTTGCGTCTGGCAGCGTGCCAGAAATGAGTTTATTGCAATTTAATAGCGTGGCGCGTAGTGCGAACCCACACACAGACACAGATAAATGGCAAATGCATTATCCACATCATAAATGTTTAGCTTTTGCTTTCAAACCACTTAACGCAAATGATGTTGATATAGCGCGCGATGATGATGATAATGATTATAATGATGATGTTGCTTCTACTCCGCCGCCCACATCAAACATTTCGGTCGAAACTTCGCGCATAAACACACACTTTCCATACAGAAGTCTTCATTTTTTCCTTCATCTTGTTCTCGTTCTTGTTCTTGCTTTTCGCGAACTTGTTTTTCTTGCGCGCTACTTTCGCTTTCAGCTGCTACGGCTGGTCTGGCCCCTGCTCCTCGACGCAACAGTAGTAGGCAAAAGCAACAAGAACAAGTAGAAAAGTCGTTTAGCGTTAAAAGCAACCAAAACGCAGCATCGACCAAATGTTGTTCAACTTTCATGTATATGTGGGAGTGTGTGTATGTGCCTAGAACAAGTTAATGTAAAAGTATTTTTATGCTTTGAGAAACATTTGTTGTACACAAAATTGGAAAGCAAATAAAAACAACAATCGGCAGGGCTAAAAAGTAGGCAAAGAAAAAGGCAACAGCCAAGTCTTGCGTTTGTTGTTAAACAAAGTACACGAAAGCGCATAAATAAAATCAAACAAATGCCGCATAGAAAACAGAGCTAAACGCACCCGCCGTACAAACCATCGACTGGTAAGGGACAATCGGGGACTGCGGCAGGTTATACGACCCCGCACATTATCGTCATCGTAATGGATCAGCCGTAGCCGTAGCCGCAGCCTCCTTAGTCCTTTAGTCTCAGTATCAGGCTCAGACGGCAGCATGCGGTAATTTTGTTATAGGCATGCGGTCTAGCAACGGCACTACGCGTGTCCTGTACCTCTACAGTCCTGTGTATGCCGTATGTGTACGTGTGTGTTTGTGTGGGTGCACAACCTGCCTGGCTGCCTGACTGCCTGTCTGTCGTTTCGAAAGATAAATGTCTATTTAAATTGTCCTTGTTTCGCTATGTGCCATTGCCTTTGTCTAGCACGACACGACAGGCCGCCGCCAACTCCAACGTCTGCCACTTCATAGTCGTCCTGTGCTCGATTGCTGCTTCCCCTGCTCCCACTCTGAGCTCGCTCGCTCCTCTCTAGTTAAATCTTTATTGTTATCATAATTTGCTTTTATCCATGCTCAGCTTGTCACAAGTGCGCGAGCATCGTCTGCTTTACCTTCTGTCCTGCTTTCTGCGACATCCCAACCCCACCGTCCCAACGTCCCACCGTCTTCTCCCGCTCACGCATTTTATCATAATTGTTTTCGTGCATTTTTTCATCATTTCGCTAAGGTTTTCGATATCGTCTTCCTCGTCGTAGTCGTAGTCGTCACCTCCTCATCATCGTCGAAGTAGAATAACAGGCAAGCGAAAAGCGTCAAAATATGTCGTAAATAGGCGAAGAAGAGGCGGACAACAGCAGCAGCAGAAGCAGAAGCAGTTTTAGGCCTGGCTTTGGGTTTACTTTGGAAATCGATAAAATTGATAATTGAGATTTCTTTAGATAGATTGGGTGGGTGCGATTTTATTCAAATTATAGGCAAGCAAGATGGCATCAATTATAATTAGAATGAAATCGAGATGAGGTCGGCAATGTATTCCATGGAAAGAGAGAGAAGGCACAACAATGTGAAGTCTATGAAGGCAGGGGAAAACCGCAAAAAAAAACAAGTGTGTTGTATATTCAAGAAATGATTTGCCTTTAAAATAACCCATATTAGCACTTTTTCTTAAATATATACCACTAAATTGTAAGTATCGATTACATGGAACATTGCAAAATAATTATTTAAACATAGTAGAAATTTTGTTACATTTTGTTTCGTTTCACATATCCGCCAATTCTGCGCCCAATTTTCATTTGATCCAGCGAAACTCTAGCTCAATAACATCTCAGTAATTTTCGTATGAAAGAGAATAGTAATTACATGCATTTTATATTGTGTATTACCAAAAAGTCGTTGTAATTGAATATGTCCATGTCTTACATTAGTAATAAGTACGTAGCTTCACAAAATATGCAATTTATTAATATGTTTACACTTCTCCCTCTTCTTACAGGTAAGGATTGATGAACAATTTCTGTATAAACTAAATTATTTGGTAAGCGCTCAATTCATTTGCCCCTAGACCATTGCAAAATTATCCCCATATCCGAATCCAATGACCCACCATCCACTAGGCTGCATAAAATAAGGTGAGGGGTATGCGCAAAAGCAAATCACTTCGTTTGCCAGAACCTCCAAGCGACTTCTAGAGACTACACTGCAATTGTACTTTTCGAGCAGACAAACGCAGCCATAATTGAATTTTAAATAAATCTACAATCACACTTGGTTGGGAGTTACTTACATACATGTATGGGGCGAGCGAGATAGATGGCTCTTGTCTACTTTTTAACTGTAAATAAATTTCATCGAATTGCTTGCGCGCTGCTTGCTGTGCACACTTGAAGCCGACATGCCAGACGACGCATGCAAGCGTCCTCTCTCCGTGGCGCGTCTTGAATGCCTGCATGTCTCCACGGCTGCCTGCCTGTCTGTCTGCCTTGTCTGGCGCCATATAGTATGCAATTTTATTTGCAGTGCGACCGGCACTTACCTGGCTGCCGGTTCGCCTCGCTCCCAGGTTCGTCAGCAGCCTGCTTGCTGCTGCCTTCTTGCTGCTTTAATGCCATAAAATACTTTAGTTTACATTTCTTACACACGAGCGCCATGTCCGGACTGTTTTCCTGGTCGCCAGCCTGCTTTGCCGCACGGCGACCACGACACAGTATGAAATTGCTGTCATAAATGCAGACAGAAAGAACAGCTCAGCATAAGAATTAAAAACTTTGCGCTATGGAAAAAGAGTATACTTGTTCAGAGCAAAGGTATGAAATACCCATAAGTTCAGTTCAATGGTAGAAGCCAGAAGTGCCAGAATAATCAAACTGGGTATTTAGTCGATCAAGCCCGATAGTCAAACATCACTGTGTATATGCTGTGATATCACCACGAATAGAATGGGCAGAAGAAGAGTGAACCTTCTGCTTCAGTTTTTGGGGATTGATAAGATAAGATTGATTCGCTAATAAATTCAAAATTAACTGCTTAGGATAGAATTTTGGTAAAAAAGGCGTTTTGAAAAATAAACAAGAAAGGAATGCTAAAGTCGAGCAGGCTCAACCCTTAAATACCCTGTACCACCCCACAAAAAAGTAATTAAATTAATTAATTAATTACATTAAATTAATTAACTTAATTAATTTAATTAATTAACTAAATTAAATATAAAATATTCTATGCATGCATACATATACATTTACATTTACATCAGAATCGTGCCTTATGCGTGTTTGTGTACTTGTACATATGTATGTATGTGTGCATTGGGCCTGGTTATATGGCTATAACTTTATATATAACCGATCATTCTATCATAATGAAACTTGGTATACGGATATATAATTACTAACTGGATGTGTCTACCAAATTTTAGTTCAAAATTTCAAGAATTACTGGAGTTATAGAAAATCGTTAATAGGGGGGAAGTGGGGGGGGGTGGATCAGAAAAAATGAACAAACTCGTCCTTTCTCGGTCTCAGGAGAATCTGTATACCAAGTTCATACAGACAGACAGACGGACAGACGGACATGGCTATATCGACTCGGCTTGTCATGCTGATCAAGTATATATATACTTTGTGGGGTCTACCAAGCCTCCTTCTGTGTGTTCCAACTAATATACCCTTGCACCCTTTGGGTACAGGGTATAAAAAGCTCATGTTGCTTAGGGAGTAGGCAAGTTTGGTGAAATATAGATGGACGAACGCACGTGACTAGAACGATTTGGCTTGTCATGCTGATTACAAATAACTTACTTTGTAGTTCTACCCTTTTTTAAATAAGATCACGCGCATATTAGAAACTGTAATTTATTGGCATTCTTAGCACCGCTGATAACTTTTCTTAGAATTAATATATGTGAGATGTCGCACTATTCTCCAAAAGGCTTCAACAATGCCACTGGCTCTGACAGTTGTTAAAAAGACTAAGCTTGGGTGGTGTCCGACTGTAGAAGCTGAATCTACTCCAATCCGAGGTCGTTGGCTGTGGCATTTTTATAATAGGATTTTCAGGCAGGATTCTATGCGGTCAGTGCGCCCAGCTACACACACACACATACACCCCCACACACACACACACGGCAGCTGAAGAGCACAACAGCCTTTGATATTTGCTTTCCTATTGTCGTCTGCATTTCTGAGTTCCGACTCGGCTATTTGTTGAGCACTTATACTCCTGCCCCCTGACTTTGATTGCCAACAAATTCAGTTTGCCTGCAAATATAATTAACTATATATAAACAGCAAGACAGAGGAAAGATATTTTAAAAGTAGTAGCAGTGTGCCACCTTTCCGATTGAAAGTTCAATGTTGAGGCAGATACCGGCCATTACGTAATTAGTTTACCACTGGGCAGACGGCAGCAAGCGAAGTGTAAACAGATTTTCTAGTCAAGCAACTTATTTTGCAGTAATTTGTCAATAAAATAAAATAGAGAAACGAGCTGCCAAGGTAGCAGACAGGTTAGCCAAACCAAATCAAAGAACAGCGCTTAATACAAAATCTTGGGTCAGAGACCAGCTGTCAAATGTTGGCACAGCAGCATCGAACATATAGTAGATGTAAGTTGCTAGCTCATTCAATTAAAAGTAACTTCCAAAACAAGAGCAGATAATGAAACTAGAAATCTTTAACCCGCGCGAATAGAGTACAGAAGTGAATCGGAGCTGAATCAGCAACAACAGCTGTTGAGCTTGTTTATGAGTAGAGCTGCAAGAAAGTCGAGTCTGAATCGATTTGATCGATGTTTCACACTCTTGATAAACATCGATTTATTTTTGGTGAATCGATTAATCGTTTTAAGTCAAATGCATACTTTAATTTGCAATTCATTACTAGAAATTGACTCTGATAATGTATAATCCCATCGAAAACGTCAGTAAGAATTCACTTTTTTCAGTTAATGATTAATCGATTTTGTTTTTAAGAAAATCGCAAAACAAAAATTGATTACAGTCAACATCGATTATTTTGCGGGTTACTAGGTCTACTAATGTGTATAACTAGCTTTGGAGTTGACCAATTATGATTAAACTGGTCTTGCTTTTATTTAATATCGCCAGAGGCCATTTACTTTCGCAGATATACAGTGCACCGATTTCGAAGAAAGTTCAGATTATAGTGACCCATTACGCGTATAACCATTGTGTAGTGGTTGTTGGTTACGATATCGTGATAAACAATATAGTCTTGGGTCGATTATTCCTTTGTCAGCCTTATGATGATGTACTGCTTCGATCTTGACTAAATCTAATGCAAACTCGAGTGTCATTCAAAAACACAGTGTATTCAGAGTAAATCTTATTTGTAAATAAATTTCCCTTTAGCCAAACGTGTGGCAAGCACAGGCAGAAAGAAACTAGAAATCAATGTACACCTAGTCTATTTTATCTGTTACTTGGTTTCACGTTTTAACCTTGCTTTTCACCTCAACAGCATGAGTTGCAGCTAAAGTTAACAGACTAGCATCGAACAAAAAGTTTACAGGCTACAACGGAACTCAATGGTTCAATAGACCGGTCAAATGTGAGAATGTGCCCAAATTAATGTGGCAAGTAAAAAGGGTAATTTCTCCATGCCACTTCAGGCCATCAAAGGAAGCCCACAGCGCTTGCTGCTTGACATGAAGTGCCTGCCTGCTGCCTCTATTTGTTAGCCGGCTGGGCTGGAGCAGGAGAAAAACAGCAAAAAGTCAAGTTCACAAACTTGTTGCTTACTCTCGGGCTCCTTGCGATGTTGCCGCTGTCAGAATGAAGTCAAGTGTAAATAAATGTAAAATATTTTACTTCGGGAAAACGCCAAGCTATAGCTAAAGAGTTGCTGCTTTTGTAAAAAATAGAAAAGAAAAAATATACAACTTTGTTGTGTTTAGGAACGAACGCTTGAGTAGTCTTTAAAAAAAATCAAGCTGTGGGATGGACGCGCCGGCTCATTAACAAAAAGTAAAGCATGCTTTTGGGTTACAATGAAGAAGAAAAACCTGTAAAACGAATAAGACATTTCAAAGGAAAATGCTGCAAAGAGCAAAACGATGACAGGCGCCGCTGGCATTAAACTCATTAACGGTAATTGCAACCTTTTCCCTAGCTATATTGGTGGCAACGTCGATGTCTGTTGCTGCTGCTTCTGCTGCACACTGAGATCTCGGCAGGAACGCATTTCGAATTTTTTGCATGCAAAGTCGCTGGGAGCGCTGGCAAAACCGTGACGTGAAAGTGTGCCAGGTTTCTTGTATTAGACAATTTACGTTGAAAACAGTATGTAGACAATCCATTCAGGTTGCACTTTGACCTTTGCTTTGCTGCTGCTTTTTCTTTACTCGTACAGCACCCGGACACGTCAAACAGCAAGGCGCCAATTGCGCGACGCCCTTGCCTGACACTGATTGTAATTGTTGCTGTTTCCCAGTTACTCTACCCTCCCCCATTCAAAAATGTAGATAATTTGTCTTGCCCCCAAAACTTCTATTATCAGTCGTATCAGCATGTACCTAGGCTTGTGGTGTGTGGTGTGTGTGTGGGGGGCGTCTGTATTTGAAAGCGAAAATAATATCAAGTTGAAAAAATGCAAAAATAACAAACGCAAGTCTTAAATGTACTTCATCGACAAATGAGAGCTAGCCGACTTTTGGATACCCTGCAATTTCCATCTCCCAGGCAGCTTAAAAAACTCAAAAATACCCTGTGTCCGTTCATCTTTGCGTCAGAGCTCTTCTACTTTCTTGCGCCTATCATTCCTATAGCAGTTATATGATAACTTAAGATTATAATGGGACTCTACAATAGTAATTTTTCTACTAAATATTAAATTTGCTCTTACTATAGAATATCAAGTTTAGAGTATCTAGCTGTAATGATTTATACGCTATCGGTGTTCATACCATCATTAATATAAAGTTTAGATTTCCAAGTGTACATTTTCTCCTATCGAGTAGGGGGGATACAAGAGGTTTTATAACTGATATTTGCACTGATCGTATATAGTGGCGTATACATAA